AGTAGTGGCTAACCCTTCTTTCTATAAATTGATTGTTTTACACCTGGTCACTGAGTTTCAGAGCTAGTCCTACCTCCCTTGAGTTGAGTGTTTTATACAGTGTAAGTAGTGGCTAACCCTTCTTTCTATAAATTGATTGTTTTACACCTGGTCACTGAGTTTCAGAGCTAGTCCTACCTCCCTTGAGTTGAGTGTTTTATACAGTGTAAGTAGTGGCTAACCCTTCTTTCTATAAATTAATTGTTTTACACCTGGTCACTGAGTTTCAGAGCTAGTCCTACCTCCCTTGAGTTGAGTGTTTTATACAGTGTAAGTAGTGGCTAACCCTAATAAATTAAATGTTTTACACCTGGTCACTGAATTTCAGAGCTAGTCCTACCTCCCTTGAGTTGAGTGTTTTATACAGTGTAAGTAGTGGCTAACCCTAATAAATTAAATGTTTTACACCTGGTCACTGAATTTCAGAGCTAGTCCTACATCTCTTGAGTTGAGTGTTTTATACAATGTAACTAGTCACAATGAATTAGAGTTAATCCTGTCAAAGTTGCTCAATCTTTGGTGTATATGCAGCTTTTCAACTATCCAGATAATCTCAAAGTCAAAAACCAGCAAATAGCCAAAACTGAGATTTCTTATTTTCGTTCACCATCATCTTTCTTCAATAGGCCTAACACCTACCTAGTTTTAGCAGTAACTATAATTTTGTCATCATTTGAAAGAGCAAAATTGTCTTCACGATCTTTCACTACCTATTTTATTATTATTCTATGCAAAATTTATAAAGCTTTAGAATACATTCTATAGCCTATTAACCACATATGTCATCTTACAAAAAAAGGAAACAAACAAGTATTAGGAAAAAAAATTGCTAAATAAAATAGCTATGTAGGGCTGGCTACTGAACTTGAAAAAAGGACCCAAACAAGATAGGGATGGAAGTGAACATATCACTTGATCCGGCTAATGATAACTTAGCAGACTAAGCTGTCTTGACTTTACATGCAGAATGAAATCCCTACATTACTGGCTTCCTCAGTAGAAAAATAAATAGAACCAGAACTTTTAATCATAAAATGTTACTCTATTGTAAAATAGTTATAAAAGTAGTATTTTAAGATTAAAGAAAGGAAAGTTATAATGATGAAAACTGAGATTCTATTCACACAAAACTTTCAAGAGACAAAGTGGGGAAGCCAGTAATGTTGGTATTTTATATTTTCCATGTAAAGTCGAGACAACTTGGTCTTCTATGTGATCACTGTACATTTATTTCATGATAAATTTCTTCCTAGTACTTGTATATGTGTGATTGTGAATTTTTTTTTTCCTATGAAATCATTGATATACACAACATTGTGTTTTTTATATGAAGAGAAGAGTAATTCAAATCCTTATTTATTTATTTTACATCTCTCTGTAATTTGTATTATTTCTGGGTTTTTAGGTGTTTTTTTTATTTTTAGGATTTACATTAAATGTTTTTGTAGTTTTGAAGCTATTAAGGAAGTTATTTTTACATAAAAATTATTGAATTTTGTTTTTATTCTGTCAGTTGTGTGTCATCGGTCATTGAAACATCGGCAAGTTAAACATTATGGGTTTGAGTTTAATTACAGAACCAATAATGTTGATAAAGACCATCCTCTGAAAGAGCCCATCCCTACAATTTGCATACAACATCTTCGTCGAATTCAAGATATTACTGGACTGTTTCCGAAACTTCCAGATCAGCTGACAGTGAACAAGTATCTTCCAGGACAAGGTATATCTGAGTAATAACAAGTATTGTGTCCCTAACTTGTCTGACATCTTCATTGTAAAGACTTGTATTTGTTCCTTCAAGATAAGTATTATCTGTCTTGATTTCAGAGTTCATGATTATACAGTAATCTTGATGGTTGTCATGTTTTGTATAGGTGAGTTGGATTCTTTACACTAGGTGGCTGTGACTTGTTGGTGATAAATTTGAACAATAAATGGACAGCATGCGATCCACTTGTTTTAAAATAATATATTAAAAACAAGTCAAACATATCTACACAATTCTTTACATTATAAGATATCACAGTTGTATCTAAAAACTCTAAATAATTCTCTTTTCTTGTCAAAAGTCCACAGAGGCTGATTCAATTACTTTAGAATCCAATTGACTTGAAAAGCCAAATTATTTTTCTTTACTCTGTTTGTTACTATACAATCTGTGATAAATTCACTTACACTACTGTGTGCATTACCACAGTTGTATCCAGAACTTTAAATAATTGTCTCCTTTTCATCAAAGTCCACACAGGTGAGTTCATTTACTTTAGAACTTAATTTACAAGAGAAATTATTTTTCTGTACTCTGTTTGTTAATATACAATCTGTGATAAATTGCTTATGTTATCCTGCTGGTTACCACAGTTGTATCCAGAACTTTAAATAATTGTCTCCTTTTCATTAAAGTCCACACAGACAAGTTCAGTTACTGTAGAACACCCTTTGATAAGACCAATTATTCTCATTATCTTTGTTAATCTGTGAAATGTGCTTTAAAATATTGCAGCTAAACTAACAATCATTCAATCTAACTTCACTTTCACTAACTTAACTTTAACTTCCTCAGAAATCACCTGTCATGGCTAAACTGACAACCTCTCAGTCTAGATCTGTCTAATTATCTCTCACTAAATTTGTTTTTTTTAGATTGTTGGACGCCTATTTATAAATATTCCGACTGAGGTCTAGCACTTTTTAGCCCCATAGTAACAACAATATTACACATAATGAGAAAAACTAAGAAGCTTCGAGTAAGGTGACATCAACAATACAATATTACTAAAACCTAGTACTAAAATTAAACTACATACAACTCGTACTGAGTTACGTAATGAAACTTGTCATAACTATCGTTTTTGAAATAATTAACTTTTAACTCTATTGTTATGAAACTAAATAATCATTGTATACTAAATCACTAAATAAACTAAATAATAACTATTAATCTAAACAATCTTGTAATATCCAACAATTGTGTGAGCAAAATGTGTTGAACTTATGATAACTTGAAACATCTATGTAGATCATTGTTTACATATGCATTCACTTCTTTGTTTGAAATTATAATGCTTTAAAACAACTGATCACAGTTAGTCTCCACTGAGGCATTTTCTGTATAATGACAAAATCAGGTATGAGCAAGAATGATTATTTTGAATTTTTATCAATAGAATAACAACTGAACTTTTTATATCTCAAGAAATTAAATCTAGAGAATGTTCTGATACATATAAAAAATAAGCATTCACCTGCTATCATACTAGGAAGCAGGGTGAGAAAAACAGATCTGTAATTGAAATAAAACCTACTGTCTTACTTCAAACAGTTAAAGTCTTTATGGCTTTATGTAGTATAGACACCCATATACAAGTATGGTTACATGTAGTATAGATACCCATATACAAGTAAGATGTCACTCAGATCGCATCACCTTCTTTTGAAGAAAGATAACTATATCGTTTTGATCCATTTTATTACCAAATGAAAGTGATTTCTTTGGACTATATTTTTGCACGTGTCCATATGTATATAATTTGTACGTGTTTTTTTCCGTTAACTTAAAGAACATAGCTGTTTGACTTTCACTGAGGGAATATTAGCTACAGTTTCACTAATAGGCAGTTATTAATTGTATGAAAGAAACAGTTTTTGAAATTTTACTTATATAAAGAGAAATATTTTAAATTTAGAAATAAATATTACAAAACCTATTATTATTGTATTAGGTCGTCAAGAAATTAATGTCACGTTTTGGAACACTTTCAGTACCCCCCCCCCCCCAAAAAAAAAAAAACGTACATAACGTATAACACCTCTGTAGCCACAAAAGAATATACAAAAGTAAGTTTAATGGAAATGTTTTGAAATGTAATG